AGAAATCAAAAGACAAGCTCAGATATCAAAGGACAAGCCCCGAACGTGCATTTCCCTTGGAAAAAACCAATACGCAACAAATTGCGGATTGTGTTTTCCCATGGATTTCAAGCTCAGACATCAAAAGACAAACCAGTAGTAGGCTAGAAGTAGTAGTAGTAGTAGTAGTAGTAGCAGCAGTGTTCCTTGCTCTGTTTTTTGCCCTGCAACTCAGCAGCGCGGCGCTGCCGCGATTCGTATGCAAGACTTTGTCTTGCATACCGGAACCCATTAAGGCTCCGATTTCTGGGATCTGGCTACGCAGATTCCTATTCCGGGCATGCTGCAGGCGAAGCCTTGCAGCATGCCAAAACTTTTGCAGGCGGAGCCTTGCAAGCCCGCAGCCTCAGTCCAGCTCGTCGAGGTGGACCTGCTGCACAGGGCTTGGGTCCCATTGCAGCGTTGGCTGCGGGACAGGGCATGGAGGCATAAGCCGTTCCACCAGGCCTTCGACGCTCCAAACCAAAGGCGGTGGATACGGCAACTCCGCCAGGTCGCCGGATATGGCAAGAAGAATCCTCGAGTTGTGCTCGGTGAATCCTTCCATTGTAAGTCCTTCTGCAACCCAGGTGAATGCAATCATTGCTTCATAAACCCGGTGGGCCTTGTCCTCACTGGAAGGGATTGTGCTCGACAACCACTGAGGAACGGCGAGCCTGAGAGTCGCCGCCGCGATCTTGTGGCCAAGCCGGAACGGTGGGCATTTAGATCGCGGAAGGAGTTCATCCGCATGAAATGCGGAGTGGCCCAGGTTTATTGCCTGGTAGCCCGCCTGATGCAAACCATTCAGGCCATCAACCAATTGGTTGATGTCTAAAAGCCGCAGGCGGCGCTCAAGGCGGTGCACAATGAGCATGTGCATGCCCTGGTTACTCCCGACCTGCAGGTCCATGCTGCCGCAGAGCTGGGCGAAGGCCTCGCGCCTACAAGCCAGGGCGAGCCTCAGGCAAAAAAGCTTGAGGAGAAACACGGATGCCACTCTGCACATGCGAAAAGGGTTTGTAGGTTTAGGGCTTCGGGGGGTTGTATACACAGGGTTTAGGCCTTTGGGTGTTATATACATGGCATATATA